AGACCCCCAACAAGATGGATTGGCCAGGTGGCAGCATTGATGGACTCAAGTGTGGCAGCGGTAGTGAGGTTGGCCCAGGATCAGACATTGTTTCGCTCTGCAGTGCATGGGGTTGCTATGAGTTGGTTCCAACTCAATGGCACCTAACAACAACAACAAGGAGTAAAGACTACAGTGGATCCAAGGGTTAAGTATGCCTCCACCTTATTAGAGGAGAGGGTGTGATTCCTATCATGTCATCACTCTTAGTTTCCCTTGGGGCATGGTCTGACTCCAATTCACAAGACTGTTTTGGAAAAGCTTGCTCTCTTGTCCTGGATCTTGCATATGGCTCATTACGTCTGACCTCCAGTTGATGAGACTTTTGGCCTATCAGCTGAACTGATTCACCAGTTCCCTTAGTCTGTTGTCTGACCTGCCGACTTGGGTTCCTTCACTCCTGAGACTATGTAGATAAGAAGATTCCCTCATACTGATCTCTAAACCATGGATTTGGGACTTGTCAACCTCCACAATTGTGTGAGTCATTCCTTTGGACAATTCTGAGGTTTGTCAGACAGACGTTGCAGTGCATTGCAGAACTCTGGAACTTGAGGGAAAGGGTGGAGTTGTGATTCATATCAAGGCCTACTGAGGGTATAAATGTTAGAAAAGTTGCACAGTTGGGATATCTTTAATCTCCAACTCATAGGGATAAGCCTTGTGTTGAGTTTAACAAATAAATTATTCATGTACCGGTATCTTCCCATCTAATAATAAAGTATGTTTTTATTTGATCAAAAATACCACGAGTCCTGGTGTGGTGCTGTAGGATAAACATTTGACCTCAAGGTCGGTTTGAACCATGAGGTTGGCAGTTCAAACTCACCAGTTCCTCCTCAGAAACCTGTACAGTGTTGCTATGAGTCAGAACCGGCTTAACAACAAAAACAGCATCATGATATCAAAACTGCTATTACTGCTGATGTCACATGGATCTTTGTTGAAAGCAGAGAATGCCAAAAGTATGTTTACCTGGGCTTTATTGACTATGCAAAGGCTGTCAACTGTGTGGATCATGACAAGCTATGGATGACATTGTAGAACATTTCATTGTGTTCTTGAGGAACCTATCCATAGATTAAGAGGCAGTCATTTGAACAAAATGCAGAAACACTGAATAGTTTAAAATTAGGAAAGCTGTGTACCAGAATTGTATTCTTTACCATACTTCATCTGTAAAATAAGCAAATAATTTTGGAAGATGGATTATACAAAGAAGGAAGGCTCATTAATAACCTGAGGTATGCAGATGATATATCCTTGTTGCTGAAAGGGACAAGGGTTTAAAATACTTGATGATCAAAGAGCACAGCCTTCAGTATGGGTTGCACCTCATTGTAACAAAAACAAAAATCCTCATAACTGTATCAAGAAACAACAACATGATAAATGGAGAAAAGATTGAAGTTGTCAAAGACTTCATTTTGTTGGAATCCACAATTAACAGTCTTGGAAGTAGCAGTGAAGAAATCAAACAACCTTTTGCATTAGACAAATCTGTTGTACAAGTACTCTTTAAAGTGTTCAAGAGCAAAGATGTCAGTTTGAGGACTAGGGGTGTACCTGACACAAGCCACAGTATTTTCAATAGCTTCATATGCATGTCAAATTTGGACAATGAATAAGGAAAGGCCATAAAAGAATTGATTCATTTGAGTTATGATGTTGGGGAAGAATATTAAAAGTATCATGGACTGCTAGAAAAACAAACAAATCTGTGTTGCAAGAAGTACAACTAGAATATTCCTTAGAAGCCAGGATGGCAAGACTTTCTCTCTCCTACTTCAAACATACTCTCAGGAGGGAACAGCATCTGGAAATGGACATCATGCTAGGTAAAATGGAGGGTCAGTGAAAAACAGGAGATCCCCAATGACATAGATTGGCACAGTGGCAGCAACAACGGGCTCAAGCTTAACAAAAATTGTGAGGATGGTGCAGGTTCAGGTAGTGTTTTATACTATTGTGCACAGGGTCACTATGAGTCAAAACCAACTCAACAGCATCTAACAAGAACATATGTGCTGCTAGGCTGAAAATTGGCCACAGGTGGTGAGTTTCTTTCCATACCTGAAGGGTAGTCGGGGGCCTTAGTCTCAGGTTCCTCCAATCTCTTTTTGATCAATAAGTCTAGTCTTTTTTTTTAAATTTATACTTTTGAATTTTGTTCCAAATTTTCTCGCACTCTATCAGTGACCTTCTAATGTGGTCTTTTTCAGAACAGCTGGTAGTGGTAGCCAGGCACCATCTTTTTTCTTCTGGTCTCAGGGTCATGGAGGCTGATGTTCACAT